GGACACAAGGCAGACCCCAGCCCATACCTATGGAGATAGACAACCCCTGGGTTGGTGTAATCAAGGGTACACACCCGTGCCCCCAGAAGGGGTCACCATAAGGGGGAGCTATGGGCAGCAGGCCTACCCAGTAGCATATAATTAGGATAGGCCTAGGGAAAATACAAGGGGACCCGACAGCAGAGGTGGGTCACGAGGAGTTTCAAGAAGCACCTCAAAAATCAGCAACGCCCCGAAAAATATTAAGTATGAAGGGAAGAGCAACTGGCAGGTTTTCTTCACAAAATTTGCAAGGTATGCAGAGGTTTGTGAGTGGGGCCCACAAGAATGCAAAGATCAACTTTGCTGGTGCCTTGAGGGAAAGGCAAGTGAATATTATGCCCTCATTACGGAAAGAGACAGGGAGGTGAGTTATAGGGAGCTAGTTGAAAAACTGCACAAGCGTTTTGGTTTCAAGGCGCTCCCTGAGACTGCCCGGGTCCAGTTCAACAATGCCAGGCAAGCCCCTGAGGAGTCTCTTGAGGACTGGGCTGACCGTGTGTTGTCCTTGGCGACCAGGGCATTTAGTAACCTCCCTGATGAGTATATGTATGAGCAAGCCGTAACACGGCTGTGCCAGGGCATTGAAAACAAAGAGTTGGGAGTGCAAGTCTCTAACCTCCAGCCCCAAAGTATTGAGGAAGCAGTAGATAAAATACGGCTATTCCAACATAACACCAAGGCAATATATGGCAAGCCAAATAGGCGTGAGGTCAGGCAGGTAATGGGTGGGCGGTATGAAGATCACCCTGAGACCTTCCATGAGTATCAGGTGTCCCATGTAAGGGCTACCATGGCTCCTGAGAGGGCCCCAGACAGTGCATGGGAAGCGGAGTTTGAAAAGTCCAATATGAAGTTTGACAAAAAACTTGGTCAGGTCCATGAAAAACTGGACGACATGATGGACCAATTTAAGAAACTCGTCACAAGCCCCATTGCAGGAAGCCCCTCACCGGGCAGACAGACAGGGGCGGAAGGTTACCACCACTGTGGGGAGAGGGGCCATTTAAAAACGGATTGTCCAAACTTGGGAGGTAAGTCCATCTCAGGAAGTCCCTCCACTCATAGAGGGCCTCCAAGGGGAGTGTGCTACCACTGTTTTAAGCCTGGACATGTAAGGAAGGACTGTCTAGATTTCCAGGGGAGGGATAAAACTGTTACCTTCATAAATCAGTCAAGCAGAACTGCAACTGGACCATTAAACTTCAACGGGACTACTCAGGAGGCCGGAGTGAGTCCCCGCAAATGAAGTTAGGCCTCTCAGAAGTTGCGTCTGTACCCCAAGCCAGAGAAGGGGAGGTAGCTATAGTGGGCCCAGGGGTAGGTGCCAGGGACAGGGAGGGGAACAGAGAACCGAGTGTGTTGGTGAAGGTTAGAGCAGAGATTGAGTCAGAGCAGTGCTCCAATTCTGACAAAGAGGCAACTCCTTCAGGCGGATTGGACTTCTACTTATTTAAATGTCTTGCGGACATATTGAGGCATGGTGCACTGGAGTTGGTCCAAAGCCTCCTCCTAGGTGGGTATTTGTTGGTGGAGGAAATCCTTAAAAGGCACCCAGGCTTTGCCGGGTACTCTTTACCGGATATTCATAAACTGATCAAGGTTGACGAGGACAGGAGGTTCACTTTAATAAAGGACACAGACAGTGGTTGTTGGAAAATAAGGGCCAACCAGGGGTATTCCTTGATGGTGGATACCCCAGCCATACCATTAGTAGAGAAATGTGAGGTGCCCCAAAGCAACTTAGTTGCTCCAGCATTGCTCACAGGGGACCTGGAGGGTCCAGTAGCCAATATTATGAGGGAACCCATAGGAGCTATCTGGGCAATTGAGAATAGCAGTAGCATTCACAAGGTTGCTGCCCAAACAGAGACAACTTTGGCAAGTGATGAGGAGGCCCAAGAAAGTTGGGACTCCACCTCAGACGATGAGGTAGAAGGGGCCAGTGATGAGAAGATAGTCACAGTTTGTCCGCAATACCAGGATTCGACATGTCCTACTCCTATTGTTGACGGAGGAATGACTGACAATACTGAAAACAGTCATACATCTCTCACTTTTAGGGACCCTTCCTCAACGGGAGAAACTGACAGAAAGGCCGCAACTGAAAGCAACAGTCCGCTCAACAAAGAAAAAGTTATTACTGTAGAATCTTTATTAGACAAAGAATCTGCATACTTTAATCCAGACAATCCAAGTTTGAGTTTGGGGTCACTTTTGAAAGCAGATAATGTGGGCACTAATTATTTTTATCTGCAGCCGCCCCCAGTAGACAGTGGGACACCAGTCTTATGTGTGGCCATTGCCACAGTTAGATTGGGTCCCACCAGAAGACAGTGGGACCCTGGAATTCCCTACCTTAACAAAGATACATTTACAGTGCAAGGGAGGAAAAATGAGACCAAACTCTTCACAATGGAGACGGGATCAGCACAACCTCCTGGGTCCAACTATATAGAAGACTTGCAGCCACTTAGTGTCCAGGGCATAGTTTGTATAAAGGAAGGGGAGAGTTGGCATACGATTCAGAGAACAATTCACAGTTGGCTGGGTTCCCAATTTGTTGGGAACCCATTGCACTAACTTTTTAGTGTATCAGTAGACCCGTGAATAGGGTCTGTTTGGGGGGTAGGTTGTATACTTTTTTGAAATTGTTGGGGGGATAGGGTGTATACTGTGTATTATAAATTGATGCATATTTTCTCTAAATTGGGTATGATTTCCGTATTTTGTTAATTTTTGGCGAAATTCACAGGGCCCACCTCAGTAGAGGGGGCCTTATTAATAAAACTGGGGGGAGTGTAGTATTCGTAGGGTTAGTTTTAGGTCATCAGACAGACCATCTAGAGATTTCCGAAGAACTACCCAGAAATCCCTCTCTTCCGGTAATGAACTAAATGGCTATACAGACGACATATATCACTGAAGAGCAATCAGGCTGTTCCTGACTGCAGGAACGACCATCCAAGGTATCTATTGGTATTTAGATATACTCGGAATCACAACAATAGTCACTTCATGTCCTGTAACTTGCTGTCTGAATAATTTCGTCAAATATATTAACACGATCAACAAGAAAGAAAATTGTTAGAGATAAATCCTTAAAGTGTTAAAATTTTCAGAAAATTTACCTACTATCCCTTCGTTCACTACTAACAAATAGTTTACATTAAGAAAACCATCAACATAGTGAAGATTACTTTCCGGCGCATGTCTAAGTGAGGTTGCTTTTGACAGCTAAACAATTTTATTGAACTTTATCCTTAATGTATTCGTAATTTACTGAACGAAATTTTTCAATATGTAATCAAAAATAAATTTGTCGTTTACACTATGAAGAGTCCAATTATACGGTTTCTACAATAAATACAAAGTATTGTACGGAATTTATAACTGAGTTAGGAAAGTGATGCATTTGAAATATGAAATTATGAATTGAGCTAATAATGAATTGTATTGTATTACTACAACTGTTGTAAAAGATTAAGCACACTTTTTGTATGAATTACTTTTTTCAACTGACAAATAAGGGGGAACAACTCATATAACTTTACTTTAGTATGCTAAAAAGGAGATTACTTTTGTTTCCTTTCATTTAAAACACAAAATTCAACCTCTGATAATAAATGAGAAGAAATGCTAGGCACCCTTTTTAACTCAGTGCTATTTACATGATAATATGATCTTCTGTTTGTACAATATGTACAAAAAAACTTAACAAATAAAAGAAATAAAATTGATAAAGAAAACACAGAAAGACAAGCGATTACAATTATCCATTTCCTAGGACTTTCTGTTCCTTCGTTAGCTGTAAAAAAATATTATCAATACTTAGTTTAACTTATTATAAAAGCTTTATTTTGGAATGAATGCTATATTTTTTATTTTATTTCTTTTCTCCATCTTACATAAACTTTATTGATATGTAAATTAAATGATTTTCTTATTTCATTTAAATTCAAATCTTTAAAATTAACACTTACAATGGGCAATTCCAGTTAATGTTTGATAAAGGGGGATAGATGGTCCTTTCTGAGGGGTGTAAAATTTTTACATCTTAGGGGTTGTAATTTTGGGTTTTTTCATCCGACACGTACAATTATACGCAAAAAACTTCTAAGGGTCTTGCAGCAGTAAATAGTTTGCAAAGTAAAAATAATTACATCTTAGGGGTTACAAAAATGCCTATGTCAGATCTTAGGGGTGCTTTGGTATCTAGACAGTTTCGTATCATACATTATCTGGTATTTTATTTATGACTGAATTGAATTTTGTCCACAATACAGTGAATAGATATTTATACAAAAACATGTTTTCCCGCCAATCAATGTATTATTACATTTGTTAAAACTCATTATAGCAAGCATTTCAGGGATGGAAGGTATCTTCTGACAGGTTGAATGGTCAGCAAAATTATAATGGGTATAACCCTTGCAGTAAAAAATTCTGACAGGTCAATTTTTCCCATGAAAACCCATCCACCCAATATGAACAGAAACTCTGATAGGTACTAATTTTTAGATCTGATAGGTTGTTTTTCATGATGTTTTTTCTGATACCTATAAACAAAAATAATTCTCCCCATCCATCCCCACCTGTCAGAAATTAACTGGAATGGCCCAATATAATCCATTGATGTGAGTGGTGTTTCCTTCTTCTTTTTCAAGCTCTTTGACTCCAAATTAAATAAAAAAGAATATATGCTATCAAACACTAACATTTTTCTTTTTCTCTTGTATCTTGTTTTACATGTAAGAAGTGTGGTTATGACATACAGTTATATTTTCTTTATTGTCTTTACTTAAATATATGAAAAATATACACTTATCTTACCTAGTGAAATTTTTTCTGTGGATGTTACTTCTTTTTCTGCTCTGGAAGTGTATGTTTCAATGCTTGTGTCCTGAAAAAGTTAGTCATAACAATGAGTAGTAAACATTGCTTATTGTCTTAACTGTTTATTTTTTTTTCTTTTTAGAATCAAGTTATTGATTTAACATTAAATAATGAGCAGGAGCCTATGGAGGTGGAAAATAATGCTGCATGTGGAAGCAGTAGTAGTAAACAAAAGATGTAAGCATAACTCTTTTATAAATATAATCCTTTATATTACAATGATCGTAATCAAAATATATTGTTTAACATGAGTAAATGTGATTTATAACTAATGAAATAAGGATTTTTCAAAGCTTATAAAACAAATTTATGACATAGATCACTTCCTTTACATAGACATATGTCTCTGAAATATAAAACACTATGTTAATTTCCATAAAAAAGGAGATAATTATTTCAACATTTTCTATGTATTTACGACCCCCAAGGGTGACTGGGGAATAGAAGTATGGTCACCATTGGTCTTCCTCCGACCGGCAGTAAAACCCGTGCTAAAGTGGGGCGTCCGTTTGGCTGTGCGGGATGTACAAATTTGCAGCCATGTCCGGTCAGAATGGGGACGTTAAATCCGATGCCTCGTGTAAAGAGAGTGCCACGCTCTTTGCACGTTAAGAACCCTTGCAACAACTCTTTGAGGGGTCCGTAGGTGACCTGTTGCAAAGCTAAATTTCTGTCCCTATCCAATATACCCTCATTTCCCGTGGCAGTCTAAATTTCTCCGACCTTAATCCCTTAATTTATTACAGAACCTACCTATTGTATTTATTGTGAACTTGTTCTCGTCCTGAATATGCATGAAATATTTGCCACTGGACGTTAAGCAACCAACAATCAATCAATCAATCTATGTATTTACGTGTACATTATTTTCTTATCAGGACATATCATTAGAAAAAGAAATAGAAGAAGCGAGTGAGATATATCTCAATGTGAGTATATATATTTTTTTTTCAACAATAATTCAATTTTTATCAATAATGGAAATCAAAATAAATTATCACGTGGTTAATTTCTTTATATGGTCACATGATTAACATTTCCTAATAAGGTATACAAAAATATCACATGCTTTCCTTATATGTCATATAATTAACTCCTAATATGGTAATCATGCTAACCATTCAACTATTTTTTCAATTGTAAAATTTAATCAAACACGATGTACTTACATACGATGAGCATTCTTCCCCGTTTACCACTATAATTTTCCCTTCCACTGTGTCACAAGTACGCAGCCACGTCCGGTCAGAATGGGGACGTTAAATCCGATGCCTCGTGTAGAGAGAGTGTCACGCTCTCTGCACGTTAAGAACCCTTGCAACAACTCTTTGAGGGGTCCGTAGGTGGCCTGTTGCAAGGCTAAATTTCTGTCCCTATCCAATATACCCTCATTTCCCGTGGCAGTCCAAATTGTCCCGACCTGCAACCCAGTTGACCTCTATTACTGGACCTACCTATTGTATTTATTGTTTATTTGTTCTCGTCCTGAATATGCATGAAATATTTGCCACTGGACGTTAAGCAACCAACAATCAATCAATCAATCCACTGTGTCACATAGCTCTTTATTTGACAACGATAGTTCAAACACACAAGTGGCTTTAACGTGGACATTTTGAATCTGCTCGCTTTTCATAACATAGTTCATTAACACTCTGTTGATAGAAGGATCTATCTCTCCACTAAAGAATTCAACACCATCACCTCGACAATCCATTATATCTTCACTTCTATAACATTCTGCTGTATTTGCAACACTTCCCACACGGGTTATTGATAATAAACAACACACGACAACAAAAACATGGCGATCATCTTCAATTTCTATAATTAGAGTGTAAAGAGGTTACGTCACGTGGGTGAACAAAGGGAAGCTTTTATTATCTTTACCTGATTAAAAGAATGATTTTTTTCTTATATTTTTTGAAAGAAAAAAAAATTTCATCATATTTTGTTTGTTTTCTTATCAAATAATTAATTATTATTTATTACTAAAAATGAATACTTAATTACAATTGTATATATATGTTTTAGGAACCGATGGAAGTGGATTTTGTGGACACGTTGTTGGATGATCAAAAAGGTTATTTTAAGAAAGAAAAAAACAAGAAGTAGAGGGGAGAAATGAGGAGAAAGAAGAAACTATGTTAAATAAATGTTTATCAAATGAAAGGTGTTATAATTTTTGTTTAAAGAAACTATATATAGATGAGACAACAAGGTATTTTATTTTTAAACAAACTAATCGAGAAAAGAAAGAAAATAATATCAAGAATTTACAAAGAAAAAGAAAGAATTTTTTTTTTATTTTAACTATCCTTATCTCGACTAGTTTGAAAGAAAATAAAGTTAGCGGTTCGTAAATATTTCTTTCTTTCAATCTGTGACGTAGAGTATTTCCTGTAAAATTAAATATAGTCTCTCTCTTTCCGTTACAATTAATTCCATTTAATCAAACAAAGGATCCGCTAATTTTGTCTGAAATCAAATGGATTTGAATTATCTGCATATTAATGTTATCCTCGTTTAAACTTCTCCACCTTATTATGTGTCTACTCTAACCTATCTTCAGATAACCTCATACTTCGCCACTCATTGTCATTAACATCTGTGTACCAGATAGAATAACCCAGCCGTATATATTCTATGTCTAATCTAACCAAATCTGATTTAACAACCGACACAATTAAATAAAATTAAAGATCTTACCGATGGTTCATTTGTCTTGACTTTCTTGCTTTGACCCGACTGATTGTCTCCTTCACTCTTTCGCTTTATTTTAACATGTTTGTTTGCTAATTTTATAGCACAATGAGCTAACTTGACCAAGGCATTGGTGTCCAGTGACTTTTTTAGAATTACTTCTATTCTTTCAATGTCAACACCGAAACTTTTTGTTATAGATTTAATGAGATCGTCACGATCAAGTGTATTTAAGGATTCTTCAGTAAATCCATGTAACTCTTCCACATGTACAGAATTTTGAAACTTTATGATAAGTTCCATTAACATATCCGAATTAAACTTAATGTCACTAATGAGTTTCATCTTGATAACAGATCACTAAAAATTAGCACGCTGATATTACGGCACAGCCTCTGAGCCAAACTGATGTCCAACTAAGATAATCTTATCATTATATATGCCTATGATCAACCAATGAGAATAGTTGTTAACCCTTAACATTTTTTTAGGACGGGGAGTATTTTTATTCTTTGTCAGTTCAATGAACTAGTCCTCATTCATGCCATTGCGAAATAAGTCATTCACATTATCTTCAAGGGTTTCATCTATCTTGGCACCTAGAGTTTCACGAGTTTTAACTCTTTTAGTCATTGAAGCAAATTTATTGTCATCAGCCTTCGACTTCCTAGGCGGGGCGTCGACTTGGTCGTGTTCTTCATCATAATCATCGTTTTAATTATCTTAACCAACTTGAGTATAATCGTACTCAATCCCATGCCATTGCGAAATAAGTCATTCACATTATCTTCAAGGGTTTCATCTATCTTGGCACCTAGAGTTTCACGAGTTTTAACTCTTTTAGTCATTGAAGCAAATTTATTGTCATCAGCCTTCGACTTCCTAGGCGGGGCGTCGACTTGGTCGTGTTCTTCATCATAATCATCGTTTTAATTATCTTAACCAACTTGAGTATAATCGTACTCAATCCCCCCCCCCCCCCCCCCCAAAAGGGTGACTGGGGAATAGAAGTATGGTCACCATTGGTCTTCCTTCGACCGGCAGTAAAACCCTTGCTAAAGTGGGGCGTCCGTTTGGCTGTGCGGGATGCACAAATTTGCAGCCACGTCCGGTCAGAATGGGGACGTTAAATTCAATGCCTCGTGTAAAGAGAGTGCCACACTCCTTGTACGTTAAGAACCCTGCAACAACTTTTTGAGGGGTCCGTAGGTGACCTGTTGCAAGGCTAAATTTCTGTCCTTATACTATATACCCTCATTTCCCGTGGCAGTCTAAATTTCTCCGACCTTAATCCCGGAAGCCCCTATTACAGAACCTACCTTTTGTATTTATTGTTAACTTGTTCTCGTCCTGAATATGCACGAAATATGTGCCACTGGACGTTAAGCAACCAACAATCAATCAATCGTACTCAATTCTAAGTATTGTCTTAGCTTTGTCTCGCTTCAAGAGATTCAGTAGGTATACCCAATAACACATGGATATGCCCTTGCACTCATCAACGTTATCGAGCTGTCACTGCAGTGATGTTAGGTTATATAATTATGACAAGAACTATTTGTTCTCGTCCGGAACATGCATGAAATATTTGTAACTGGACGTTAAGCAACCAACAATCAATCAATCTTGGCGTCACTGATGAATCTTATGCAGACGAAACGCGCGTCTGGCGTATAAAATATTAACCCTGGTAACCTTTGATAACTAATTCTAATGGTAGGTACAAATATACATACACCGGGCGTCTGTCTGTCCGTGTGTCGTTCCTTCTGGTCTCTTTAGCACTCTCACATGTACTATTCAAAGATTTAGGATGCAATCATCAAATATTCCTAAAAATTAGTAAACATTTATTTTTCTGAACAAGCTTTAAACCCCTAACGTTTACTTACATGAAGACAACGTGATGTTATGACTTAAAATGGTCTGATGAAAAGTCATGACTTTCCTTCTTTGTTCATCAAGTCCTTAACCGAGGCTGAGTTGTTTACATAGCTGGGTTAATACTCAATTTTGACTTTCTATCTGTCATTGAATCAAAATTTGCATTCCTCAACACTGGGAACATGTTCCACAACTTCTGCTTAAAGTCATCACTTGTCAAGTACATTTCCAGCTTTTTTGGCACTGTTCTTGTTACTTTTATTTTAGAATCAGGGTAACCTGAAATTATGAATAACATTGTATTGGTAACTTGATATTAATAATAATGTTACCAGGCAAGACATAAGCATATGTTTGTTTACTATTCCCCACCAAAGGGTATAGAGTTTGGGTAAAATATTTAAAGCAGTCAACCCATTCCAGCGGCAAGTCTGTATATATACCTTCATATTTATATAGGGAGTAACACCCTTAGCAGAAGTAATGTAGGTATTTTTTTTAAATGTTTTTTTTCTCCCAAGACAACTCTTTGGAGAATCTGAGGTATAACACGAAGGACCTACACTTGCGACTCTTTGTGAAACTGATCAACTTCTTTTTTTATCGCTCTTTGTTTGAAAAAAATGTCTTGTCCTTTTACATTCAATATACTTCGTTGTTTGACTTACTTCACCAGTGCCTATTCTACTACCTTTTTCGTACACTAATCCATCTATGTCATTGTTTACTGTATCTGTTCTACACACCATGTTTCTTGTCATCAGAATAATTGACGACCTTGACGGAAATAAGCCTCTACTTGAACTTGATAGTTCTGTCATTTCAATCTTGATTTGTGAACGTCGTAATTGATTTGAAAGTAGTCAGTAAGACTTTCTTTGGTGTCTTCTAGTTTTCCTTTTACTGCTTTAGCTTTGAAAAAAAAATCTTTGAAACCAACATTCCTGTCTATCTGTAATTTTCTTAATCCCCCTCCATCTGAATGAAATACTTTTTTGTTTTCCTGATGAAATGCGTATTTATTTGTATACGCTCGTCAAAATTTTGATGGAACGTATTATGGTATACAAATGTCCGGCGTAAACATGTCGCACCTTAACTAGAGAACGACTTATTCAAATTTCATTAAACTTAACAGGGTTGCTCTTATGATGGTCAAACGATCTGTATACTTTTCGGTTGAAATAAGAATGAATTTTTAAAGACATATTGATTCAAATAAAAACAACCCCACAATGAAACAAACTTGCATGTGTGATTTTTAACTTTTAAAATTTGAACTAATCAAATCTTGAAAAGCCTATTCTGGTTGGAAATCATTCACATAGAACAAACAAATCTGGATTAGATACTGCAGTTGAAGTATCTGCCTCTCTTTCTAAATCTGATCTACAAACGCAACTACATTTGATTTAAACAGTGAGTGCAGCTACACTGTCAGTTACAAGCAGTACTATAATGAACAAGGGATAGGCACAATGACGGATATTCGTTTTTGACGAAAATTTAAATCGCATTTAAATGCGAAATATTTTAATTGTAAGAAAATAAGGAAACGCTCTTATTGTTTTGCGTTGTCGGATGAACTTAAAAAATCACATATACAGAAGGAATAATTGAGATGGAGGAAAGGAGAATCCTACTCAAGTTAAAGGTTACTTTGATTCACGAAACCAACATCAGGTTCTATAAGTTGTCATTCTTTTACTGACAAAAGTGCTGGTGTCTCATTAAATTGAGAGAAATTGTAAAAATGTGGATTAAAGATGAAAAACGGCGTAAAGCAAATAACAATCAATCTGATGGTACTGTTAACAAGTCTGAATTTTATATCTATAGGAATTATTGTCATTGACTTTTTCATCATCTCAATTCTGTCGAATAGAATACGAGAATCTAATCCCCTACTCTCAAAAAGTTTCTTCACTGGGGAGAAACATCAAAACTTTCTTAGAGTCATCTTCTTTTCTTAACAGTACTATAACCCGTAGAGATCTAGTGCTATTGCTAGCTATACACCTCCAATTACAGACCATTTTTGCAAGTCATTTTGAAGATACCATCTTCATGTTTAATTGTTGTCAGTTATGTGTTGTTATAAGATGCAACATGGCAGGATAGATATGGATCACAGTCAAAAACAGCCTCTTTAACTCCACAAGGGTGACTGGGGAAAGGAAACGACCGGCAGAAAAACGCTTGCCGAAGAGGGGCGTTCGTTTGGCTGTGCGGGATGTATAAAGTTCGCAGTCACGTCCGATCAGAATGGGGATGTTAAATCCGATGACTCGTGTAAAGAGAATGCCACGCTCTTTATACTTAACGTTAAGAACCCTTGCAACAACTCTTTGAGGGGTCCGTAGGTGGCCTGTTGTAAGGCAAAATGTCTGTCCCTATCCGATAAACCCTCATTTTCCAGTGGCAGTCCAAATTTCCCCGACCATCATCCCGGATGGCCTCTATTATGACAAGACTTACCTATTGTATTTATTGTTTACTTGTTCTCGTCCTGAACATGAATGAAATATTTGCCACTGGAATTTAAGCAATCAACAATCAATAAAAAACGGCCTCTCTAACTCAACTTGGCATTCTTGACTCAATGCCAACATCTGTTTGATCTTCCTCCTCAGCCTCAGAGACATTCAAATTGTCATCATCAGTAGTGAATACGTAAAAGCATATGTTGTATATTTATAGCTAAGTTATATTAATTAGACTATTAACGCCATGTTTCCTTAGCTGATTTGTTTGATAATGAT